GGCCCCCCGCCTTGGCCGGTGTGGGAATTGCGAATGGTCTGTGCCATGGGAGCGTGTCCGGCCGCGCTGCCGGGCCCTGCCGCCGGGAGGAACGCCCGCCTCTGATGTCCCCCCCCCCCCCGGGGCCCTGCACCTCCGTGGCCCGCGCGCGGGCTGCGGGGCCCCGACATTTTCATCCACACAACCCCGGCCGTTTATGGCGTCCGCCACTACTCAGACCAGGGCCCGGCCAAAGCGGGACGCGCCGGAGCGAGCCGCGCGCGAGCCGGTCACCCGCGCCCCTCCCCCCTCGGCCGCCCTCTTCCGGGTTGTGTCGGCGCTCCGACGGCCGGGTGCGAGGGGCTGCGAAAATAATAACAATAATAACAGTCGAGAGCGGCGGCGGAGGGCGGTACACCGGTCCAGCCTCTGGCTTGCCGCCTGCACTATTTCCGCGCACGGGGGTCGCCCCCCCCCCCCTGTCCAGGAGTCCCCTCTGTGTGCATATGTCTCCCCGCAAATAACAACAAAGACACCCTCTTCTGGCGCGAGGATGGCCCCTTTTTGCGTGTCAGCAAGCGCCCCCCTTCCCACCCGCCGTCTCGCGAGCTGCCACGCGCGGCCGCCTGTTGGGCCAGGGAAAATTTGCCGGTCGGCATCAAGACGACTCCCCGCCTTCCGCCTTCCGCCCCCCGCCGTCCCGGCCCTTGTCATTCCGGCCGGGAGGGGGGCGGGCGTCGCGGGCGGGTGTCGGCCTGGGTTGGCAGTTGTGTGTCCGTGAGTGGCATTTCAGCCGGCGCTGGCTTGTCGCAGGCCGTGGGCACAGCTCCCGCCGGGGCCATACATCTCCACTCACTTGACCTTGACCCCGGAGCCGAATGCACCAAGGGTGACGAGGGGGCCGGCCGGGCGAACACCCTCTCGGTGCAATTGCGCCGGGCTGGGCAATATCTTCCGGCCGGCACCGGGAGTCCCGCCGAGGGAATGGTTCCCGGCAACATGGTCCACGCCCGGCACCTCGATTAACACCGGACACTTAACCAACATTGGCCACTGGCCAGAGGGGCCTGGAGATCGAGCATGCCGTTCCGATCAGCAGACGGGGGAGTCTACACACCAAGCACCTGGGGCTCGCTGCTTGGCCCAGGCCGGCGCTCGTCCCCGGGCTGTCTGTGCCTCCTGCTGCTGCCGGGCCGCCTTCACCCCCGTGCGCCTTATTCTGGCCATGCCCACCGCACACACAGACACGCACACACACACACACAGACCTCCTCCGCCAGCGAGCAGGTTGCTGTATTTTTCTTCATCATACACGGGCCCTCCTCTGTGTGCCCTTCCCCTTGCCCATCTCCCCTCCTGTAATCATGTTCCTGGGGGGGGGGGGGGGGGGAGAGGAGCGCCACCGAACGAGGAGCGGGCAGGCCTCTTTTTCTTTTTTTCTTTCTTTCTCGGTTTTTCCTTGGGCCCTTGATTATTTCTCAGGCGGACGGGTCCGAGGCCGGGGGCTGCTGACCCGCCGCGGGCGCAGCCGGCTCCGGCACGTCAATCAGCGCCGCGAAGCCGGTCGGCCGGCCCTGGATGATCCCCTTGGAGATGTGTCGCGCGGTCTTGACATCGATGGCCGCGCGCAGGGCCTGCGCCACGGGCCCCGAATGGCCAAGCTCAACGCGCTGGGCCGTGGTCTTGGACCCGGCGCGGGTCTTCTTCCCGGCGGACTTCTTCTTGGCCAGGGAGGCGGGTCCCTTGCGGGCGACTGCGGTCGAGGGGTCAGTGGGAGAATGTCAACGGGAGGATCCCCCCGCCGGCAATCCCGGGGCAATGGCGATGTGCCATGCGAGATCCCTCATGCCCTTGCGGTGCGCCTTCCCGCGCAGCGGCACGTACCCTCAGACCCATCGCGCTTCAGCTCCTTCTCCTTCTTGGAGGGGCGCTTAGTTCCCTTGGCAGACCGGCCCATGGTGTGTGTGTGTGTGTGTGGCTCTTGTTGGAGGGGCGAGTGCGTCGGAGTACTGTGTCCGGCGATCCGAAGCTCATCGAGTCAGTGTGCGACTGGAGGGGGGGAGGGGGGAGGGAAGAAGAGAGAGCAACCCCCCCCCAGAGATGGGAAGAGAAAGAGAGGATGGGAGGAAGGAGAGAAGATGTGAAGAGGGAGCGGAGAGGGCGAGAGGGGGCGGAAAGGTCGAGAGGGGGAAACCGGCAGTGGGTGGATGTGTGTGGATGAGTGTGTGACACACAAGGACGCAGAGTGTTTGGAGGTGAGGGGAGGTGATCCTGGGGCTTGGGGCGGCCCGGGGCCATGGAGCCGGCTGAAAAAGGAAGAAGAGAGCCCCGACGTGGAGGCGCGCCTACGTCGCACCCTGGGCCTGGCCAGGCAGTCGACGAGGGGGGGGAGAGGCGGAGATGCACACCGGTCCTCATTTATCTCCCTGCCCCCTCCCCGCCGGCCGCGACCCCCCGCCCACGCGCAAATGTCGCCACGCAGCCGAGCTGCCTGGGTGCCGTCGTATTGGCCATTTCCCACGGGCACGTACGTTGGCACTGGATTGTGTATTTCCCCCTCCCCCCGGACACCGCGCAGTGTCCGGGGGGAGGGGGGGGGGGGGGGAGTCACACATTTGCTTGGCCCTGGGGGCCGGCTGTGCTGGGTGCTTTCTACAAAGGGAAGAGGAAGGCGGGCATGGCAGAGGCCCGGCCCCCAGCGGAACATGCCTCTCGTTCGCTCAGAGGGACACTCGCCAGATGCGGATCGTGCCGTCATCCGATGCGGTGGCCAGGACAACCTGCTGCGGGTCGACCAGGCCCGGAATGCGGGCCGCCAGGTCCGGCCGAAGCAGCGGCCGGAAGGCCACCGAGTTCAGCTCCAGGCTGTGGGCTCGGCCGTGGCGCCGAAGCGGAACAACCGTCCCGTTGTCCATCTGTTGGCACGGGGGGGGGGGGGATGGGGGTGGAGCGCGGGGAGTCGTGAGTAAGCGCGCGGCCGGAAAGCAGACACCTCCCTCTCTCTCTCTCTCACTCTGTGTGTGATTCTCTCCCTCTCTCTCTCTCTCTCTCCCTCTCTGTACGGGGACATACCCCCCTCAGGGGAAGCCCGACCAAGAAGAATGCGGAAGCACGCACCTCGGCAAAGAGGCCAACGGCATTGTCACCGGCCCCGGTGGCAACCAGACCAATGATGGCGCTGGCCGGGCCGGGAGCCTCGGCCACTGGCCCAGTGTCCCCGGCATCACCCATGACCACATCCTCGCCCTCGTGCTGAGGAGGGTCGTCAGCCGCGGCCAAGGTGCCGACGGCCGCGGCATCGATGGCCGGGCCGAGGCGCACCACATCCGCCGGGGGGACCTGCCCCGGCGCATGCCGAGCCACAAAGGCGTCCAACGGGATGGCGGCCGGCAGGGCGCAATGCGACACCGAGTAAATTGGCCGCGAGTGGGCCTGCGAGATGGTCTGTTTCGAAATGAACGGGCTGCCAACTGCATGCGTGTGAGAGCGTCAGTGTGGAGGTGCGGCATGCCTGGATGGCCACCAGGGAGCATGTGCAAGGCCGCGAGAAGGGGGCCACAGCCCGGCCCCGCCAGATGAGCGTACGGTCTTGACTGGGGGCGGGCTCCCAGATCCGAAGAGAAAGGTCATCACTGACGGAGGCTGACAGGAGGGAGAGGGCAGAAGCCCGGGTCAGTGTTGGCAAGGCACGGGGACAGGGCCCGGGCCAGTTGAGGGAAGGCACACACCAATGCGCGAGCCGGACAGGGCGGCCGTGGCCCAGACGGTGGACTTGTGGCCCTTCAGGACACCGGTGCACTCGAAATCGTCGCCGCGCAGGCGCCAGACCATGATCGTATCGTCGTACGAGCTGGACACCAGACACTGGGAGGACTCCCCCTCGGCCGGGAGGTCAACCCAGGCTACGTGCTTGACGTCCTGGCCGTGACCGTACAAATCCGAGGCGATCTCCAGCTCCAGGGGATTCTCACAGACTGGTGCATGGTTGGGGTGTGTGGCCGGCATGGGGAGACATGTCAGGCATGAGGCGGTGCACCCATGTGGGCATGCAAACATGTGCGCCGGCGAATGGACAGGCAGTTGCACGTACAGGCCCAAACGATGACACGCTTATCGCGGCTACACGTGGCCAAGAAGCTGCCGTCCGGCGACCAGGCGACACTCTTGATCTCGGCACCATGGCCCTCCTGCTCGATCTCGATGACCGGAGTCCACTCTGCGACGGGGGCCCCACCGGGGTATATGTGTATGGGGCAGGTAAGCACGGGTGGAGACACATGCGCACATCATCATCATCATCATCATCATCAT